GGACTGCTAACCACAAGGGTGGCTGTTGAAACCCTCTTCAGAAACCCTATGCAGGGCCGCTTTTCATCAGAATCGACTTGACTAAACTGAACAATTACAACAAAGGAACTGGTGCATATGGTTCTTATTTAGTGTTTCTTACTTACGCATCCCTTAAATTGACATCTTTGTGTGTTTTTTTTTGTTTTGTTTTGTATTTAAGTTTTTATTGTGAATTGAGTGATAGTTTACATGGGAGAACATCGGTTTTACACTCATTGTTTCATTGTAGTGATTATAATGTCATCTGTACATCATCTTTCAACAGTATTTGTATTTACTTCTGTTCCCTCTGTTTTTCTTTTTCTTTTCTTTTCTTGTTTTTGGATGTACACAAAAACACTCAGGAATATATAATCATCTACCAAAGCGCACATTCCGCGAGACTGCCTCCTTGCCATCAGTACCTGGCCGCCAGCACACAGCCTTTCTCTTTTCATGAGTCTAGAGTGTTCAGCTGCTCCCTCTCTCCTTGTCCTCATCTCTGCCTCCATCTCTGGTGTCGCTGCTTCTCTGGATAGGATCCCACATTCCACTTGTATTCTTCTCCCATGATGGTCCTAGGGTCCTCTATTCCTGGACTGTAAGATTAACTACTCCTTTCTTTTTGTTACAGAACGTCTACCTTTACAGTTGTTAACAGTCGCAATTAGTCATGATAGCAATTACTATTGAATCATAGGAATCTTATCCCCATCTCTTTTCACCAGACTCGTCTAGACAAGATGAATACTATTCAGTGGGTATTCTACCTTCCCCTGCACACTTTGAAACTAAACTCCCTCTTGAAAACTTGTAAGACAGTCACTTCATGTCTTTATAGCCACCCTGCCGCACACCCCCCCCTTTTTGAATACTTTAAAAGAGGTCTTGTGCAGCAGATTTGCCCAACACAATACGTTGTTTGAATTCTTGACTGATACTTCCACGAGTGTTGATGGTTGATCTCAGCAAAATGAAGTCTTTGACAACTTCACTCTTTTGTCCATTTATTTTCATGTTATATATTGGTCCTCTTCCCTTTCAGCAATCAATGTTGTATCATCTGCATATCCCAGAGTGTTAATGACTCTTCCTCCAATCCCGATGCCACATTTTTCTTCAATATAATACAGCTTCTCAGATTATTTGCTCAGCATACAGAAAGACTACCAACCAGAATATTTGCTGTTCAAACTCACCAGTTGTTTTCCATACAAGAAAGATGTTGTAATCTGTTTCTGTATAGATGGCTATCCTTGGGAATTCTGTAGGGATGCAGTTGACTCAGTGGTAATCATTTTGCTTTTGGTTCAGAAGGTGATGGAAGGTTTCTCAACTGTAGTCCTCATTTGCAACTGAGTCCTCAGTATCACCTTTATATCCACATTTTTACCAGTTGGTTTTTCAAGGTGATCTAGGCATTTTCTATCAAGTGTCTCAAAAGTCTATAAAGTCTCAACTCATTACCCAAATTAAAAGATAGTTCTACAATTTTAAGTATTTTTTACAGAAGCACCCCATGTACCAGTACCATAATCTGTTTTCGTTTCCTAAGGCTTCTGTAAGAAACTAGGTGGATTATTAAAACGTTTTATAAGTCAGAATCCATTCAGCAGCACACAACAGCAACGACAAGGTGGATTAAATCAGAACTTTATTCCCACAATTTTGGAAGCTAGAAATCCAAAATCAAGGCATCAGCAGTGTCATGCTCCCTCTGAAGGCTCTAGAGAAAAAATTTCTTAGCTTCTTATGATTGCTGGTAATTTTTACTATTCCTTGAGTATTTTCCTGTATCAATCCAGTTACTCCCTCCATTTCATGTGCCCAGCTTCCTTTTGTTTGTGGCTATGTGTCTCCAAATCTCCTTGCCCTTGTTAGGATTTCAAGTCATTGGATTTAACAAACAACCCTCCCCTGCCAACTCTCAGTCTAGTATGACCTCATCTTAACTTGATTATAATAGTTTACAGGAACCAGGGGTTAGGACTTCAGCATTTATTTTGGGGGGCACACAGTTTAACCCACAATATGTATGTGTTTGTATATGTAAAGGGAAGGAAAAGCATATGCTTGCACAATTGCATGTATGTGTGGATAAAGTATTAGCAGTCAGTTACCCTTAGTAATGGGATACTGAGTGGTGCAAATGGTTTGCAGTCAGTTGTTTACCCGGAGGTTGACATTTCACGTACACTCAGTGCCTATGCAGAAGAAAAGACCTGGTAATCTGCTTTTACAAAGATTACCGTTGAGAAAACCCTATAGAATGATTCTACTCCTTAACAGTGTCCTGGGTCGTTGGCCAGTTCAATAATAGCTAACAACAATAATCTTAGTAAAGTATGTGGAGGAGTGTTGAATATTGTTCTTACAACCTCATTGTAAGTTTGAAGTTTTATTAAATTATAATAAAATGTTACCGTCCCCAAATAATCTTAAATAACACTCCTTCCTTTCGTTTTTTTCCCAACCCCTTGTGTCTTCTCTTACTTACCTAGATGTTGTTTTGGGAAAACATACTGTGTATGGGGTTAAGGCAATTAAAAGAAGTTAAGGTGTCAGAAACAGAAGCATTTAGGAAGCTGACGAATTCTGGTTCCAACACCTTTTATTTTTTACTTTGACCATGAAATGCTAAACCTTTCTTTACTTTCATTTCTTCCCCTGAGGGTACTAATAGTACCTACATTGTAGGGTTCTGTCTTGCAGGGATTAATATACAAAAATTATGTATAGCAGTGCCTGAGACATAGTATTCTTTTAATATCAGCTGCTGTAATTATCATTATTACTATTATTGTTAAAGTTACTGTGGTCAGGGAGGGGGCAGGCAGCCTCCCAGACAATACTCTGTTTTTAAAGTTACTTAATCTCCATCCCAAATAAATACCATTTCTCTATGTGCATATGTATACATATGCTTAATTTTTTCCTTCTCTTTATTTTAAATGTTATGAATTACTTTGTGATATGAATTGGTTAGATTAGGTGTGTTTTGTTTTTTCTAATATCTGGCTTAAGTGAGAGGATTGAGCCCATTGTTTGAAAAAGATGAGCAAATTGGAGTGGTCAACAGTTTGAGGACCATCACTTTCTAAGCTAGGGTGATTCTTTGATTCTTTGGGGATAGCAAATAGATACTTGGAACTTGGATGTGTTTGGGAAATAAGATGAGGGCAGGGCTGGTGTGACAGAAAATCTGTGAAGTTTTCAGTGACAAATAATGCGTTCTTTTTTTTTTTTTTACAAGTTTATTTACTTATTTATTTAAATTAAATGTTTTTATTTTAGATTGAGTGAAAGTTTACAGGGCACA